TTGAGGTTAAAATGGGATTTAAATTCAAATTGAAGATGCTAACTTCTACCTTGATTTTTTAAAATCATATCATTAATCCTGTATTTCCTATGCCAAAGTTCTGCCAAACTTAGGTTTTGTCCTTCTAAGCATTATTCTAAACTCTTTTTGATTGCGACTGTGAATCAACCTAGGGAGAAGTTGTAGAAGACTTTGATCGGCTGGGTGCCACCGCTATGATATCATCAACATGAACAAATAAATCTGACAATGCCACACTTTTTTCCAACGTTCCCTTTTGATGGAAAATCACATCCACTTAAGTATCACAAAATTGTAAAAAATTATGATATCATTGAATGACTAAGTAAATGGTTTTCAGGGTAACAAGACTTTGTTCACTGATATGTGTACCCCCTTATATACACATCTTGGGCATACAACTGAAAATATCAGAGATCCAAAAGGATCGGTAAAATCATTAAACTTGCTACTTCCCCAATCCTAAACTAAATAACGTACAAAAAGATAATTAACACACAACTCACATGCAAACTCCATGCATATCTCATATAACACGTGAATGGCTATTTTCTTCTATACTTATGGCTACTAAGTGATAAATGTTGTGTATGATGTGATGATGTTGCAAGTAGAAGTCTGAGATGATCTCTTGACGTCACTAGCACAGAAATAACTTGTGTAGACGAACGATTTCGTCTTAAACTTTGAACCTGACGATTTGTGACGAAAATGATTGCTTGAAGTGACTCGTGATCGGATACCGTATCAGCATTTTCTGCTATTTATAGGAATTAGGCAGTAAAGTAATGTTTTGCAGAGTTGGAGGGCAGATTAAGTGTTAATAGTAGTACAATAAGTTGATTTTAAAAAACAAACAAACATTGTAATGGGCCAATTAAATGCTAAATACAATTTTCGTTTAGTTTTAGTCTTTATCGTTCCACTTTTACTTTCCAGAAAGATATCAAAGGTTTTTGTTCGCAGAATGCTGAAAATGTTCTAAAAAAGCAGTGTCCCACACTTATCTTTTACAAGAAATGCAACAATAAAACCAACTTACAGCTTTGGCCCAAATGGACGCAAAAGAATCCGGCCAAATGGGACTCGCTACGGTTCTGTATTATCTTACTACTACAGTACTGGCGACCTTGGTAAGCTATCTGTAAATCTCTGAGTTACGGTAGAACCATTGTGATGTTATTGTGAATAAGCT